TAGCTCATGGGTATTCTCGACGACAAACAATATAAAGATTTTGTCGATGGACATGAAATGCGCGATAGAAGCAGAGCAGTGTCATCTTATGAAGGGGAAAAAGTGGCCGTATTTAGTTCGACGTCTTATCGAAGCAGCATCTGTATTCCAGTCACTTTCACTTTTTGACTGACTAGCCTTAATACACGGCTTCGCCCGGGACTTGGATTCTTGTCTTGGATTAATACACGGCCTACACGGAGAATGGGGGATGCGTGACGTCAGCAGGCACACTGCGTGACGCTGCCGCATGCGGGTGACATCACAGATGTGACGTCACCGCTCACTTGCCGTGCAAAATATTACATGCACTATTGCACCCCCCCCCCCCCCAAAATGCAAAAGTCTAATTTGATACTTTTTGCATTGTGTACAGTCTGGAAGATACCCACATGCCAAATTTCAAGTTTGTTGCATGTCGGGAAGTATGCTAAGCATTTCGAACAGACACATTCACAAATTTCCCTTTTACATATATAGATGAGCGTTCAGCTTTTGTTGGCTTGCATTCTTGTATAATGTTTTTAATTCCTTTGAACGGCTTCTCTGATGGAAGACAGTGCGATCCTTGGCTCACATCTGCGATTACGGTGCTTCTAAGTGCGGTTGTTGTTCGGGCAGGGAGGGTTCAAAGCCCAAGCCCTTCGACGGACTCTTTTCACCAGCAGAGAACTCGCACGCCACTCCACAAAGGTGGACACAGAGCATAGGTTCCTGGAAAGTAGTGCACTAATGTACTATCTTGTACCAGAAGTGACTGAGCCTGAATCTACAACGTCTTTTGGCCATACGCAGAAAAGGTGAAATAACAAATGTTACTTTTAAGACCGGGCTAAAAAACATATTTTTTTTTCCTTCTGTTCAGTTTAATGTTCTCAGTGCCGTCCGTGCTTGCATCTCAAGTTTTTTTTCGTGTGTGTGCTGAATATGGCACATCATTCACCTTGGAAGGACCGATTGAACAAAATGAGAACGGTCATCTACAGCCCTTTGTCCATCCACCGCTGGATGAAGGCCCTCCCCAAGAAGCATAGTCGTGGGAGGCAACAACCCCGGATGGCACGATGCCATGTCAGCAATGGTGGTTGTTTGACCACACGTCACCACGCTGGTCAGTGCCGATTGGTGAAGGTGGGAGCCGTCCCGGATATCGCTTGCCGCTGTTACCCGTGGCCCAGGATTCAAACGTATGTGGCTTATATCGATGGGACCTTTTTTGTCCCATTGATATAATCCATCCTACCAATAAAACAGGAGGTGTTATGATGTTCAAACACCAAATAGAGATACCTTTTGCAAGACATCAAGTCTGCATTAACCACACGGTACTTGTGGCAAAAACATGGCAACAAGCATGCTCTGATAATGTATGCATTGTCTTTGAAACTGATTGGCCTACACCAGTCAATCAGAGAGGTGGCTTGGTTCATTCTGCACTGTGCTAACCGCTACGCCGAATGGCGTTCAATATAACTTACAAACAACTTGTGACAGACCAAACACAGAAGATCCCTGGGTTTTTAAACTTCTATGAAGTTCACCCTAAACAGCATCCGCACAAATAATGGTAGATGCGGATACCTGATGCACAAATGTAAAATTAAAAACTCTCCAGTAACGTGCGACTGTGGTCATCCAGGACAGACCGTACAGCATGTAACGACGCAATGCCCCGATCCAGGAATACGAAGAAGACATCACAGCGATACACTCCGCTGCTCCTGACACAGTCATCTGGCTTGACCACCTGAATGTGAAATTGGAGTTGTTGCTCTGCATCTACATCAGTCGTACTCAAGAAGAAGCAGCCCGCTATGCGACAACTCACCAAATGGGCGACTTCTTATTACCAATCGTAATTATTTTATGTAGTTGCAACCAACTTTAAGTTTGTATTTGAGCACTAACTCCTGTATAAGATGGCCTACATGTGAGAATAATCAAGAGTGTTTGACATCCAATGTTCTCTTCTTTAAAGGGGTCAGTGGACCCGTGGAACGAAGTGGATTAGTCATCGGTCCCTGAACCTGGGACATGCAGTCGCCCCAGTTACACTGTAGTCAAATTCTTTCAAAACCTCCTACATATCAACCTGCAGGGCATTCATGAGCTTTACATATTTACTGTGTTTACTTATTAACCAGAAGTTGGTGCACGCGATTGATCGTTCCGATTACACCACGAAATAATCATTGGTCTCATTGCGTTTCCGCTGCTGGCAAGGTCACGGGACAGACCCAGGTGATACTGGTTAACTGACCACACAAACTTAGACACGCCGAATACGAGGGGGTGGGTGGCCAGCACCATGCCCGTCCGCCTCTGTGTCGTTGGGCGTTGTTTGACCGCATTTCACCGCGGCTGGGGTTGTGCGCCTGGGGTTGTACGTGCCGGTGAAGGTGGGGGGAGCATGAACGTGGGAGTGTAGAAGTGCAGTGAAATGCAGTGCCCCCTTCTACCCACCACGTAAGAAGCGCTGCCCGCAAGTGCTGCGTCTCGCTGTCTGGCACCAACACAATTATATAACAGTGCGGGCGACCTTTATTGTCTACATGTCCGACCCCTGACACGTCATCAGCATTCCAGAGTTTTGTCTTTGACACCGATTGGTCTACACCGGAGACAGCTTTCTTTATGGCCCAGTCTCAACCAGTGTCAGACCAGACAAGACAATGCATGTATCACCGGAAGCATGTTTTTTGTTTGCACGTTCACCACAAGTACGTGTGGTTAATGCTGACATGATTCCTTGCAAAAGGTTTCTGTTTGGTGTTTGAATGTCTTATCACAATTGTTTTATTGCCAGAAAGGTAAAACCAATTCTAATACGCTTTGAGAACACAGCCAAGAGCTTTTGAGTTTTAGTGTTAGGCAAGTTTCATCATCATCATCATCAGCTAGGGTCAGCCGACTGCTTGATGCAAAGGCCTTCCCAAACCGATGGCTGCTCACGATTCTGCGATGTAAATAATCCAAATTTAGATTTAAAGCTTTCGTGACTACAGGGATTCACGTAGAAGGGAAATAAAAAAAATAAAACATAATAAAATACAATTCTCACGACGTTTCGGCCACAACGCAAGCAGCCATCCTCAGGTGAAGAACAGGTCTGTCCTGACCTTACCGAAAGAACCAAGAAGGGTAAATAATCCACCTAAACTCCCGCACACACGAATTGATTTCATCGCTCTGTCTCCTCGGTAGACGTGCTCTCCGATACGCTCCAATCCTGGGTTGCCACTCAATCATCATTCTCAGCCATCGGCCGTCGACCCCTTCCAGCGGCATGCCCTGCACTTACATTTGCAGAGAAGTTTGAAAGATGTCTTTCACCTGCGTATGTTCTACAATCAGTGTGTTCCTCTCGCAGCATCTCAGGGTAATTGCAAAAGTGCATTTGGAAAGTTTTAAGTGTGTATTATGTTTTTTTGTCACTTGATAACCTTTGCTTCAATGCAGCAGCATTGTTTTGTTTTCAAATTCTAATGTCAATCGTGTAATTTTCAAATGTATTATTACCTTTTGGCATTTTTATTTGCTTTTTCAAGTGTGGATAAAAAAAAATCTGTGTAATTTTTTTATATGAAATCAACTTTATTTTAAAACTTAATTTTTATTCCTATTCTGTATTTTTCTTTTCTTTATTCTTTTTCGTTTCATTAAAACTAAAATTCTGCTGTACCCCCATCCTCTGTCTCTTTCTGATGTGTTCACGTCTATCTGCATGTCAGATTCTTCTCGTTGTTTCACTTCTTACACATTCACTTCCTTTTAGTTTATTATCCACTGCCCTCACACTGTGCCTCTAACCCTTCGCTTACTTTACACAATTTCACTTCTTTTTTCAAATTCCTATTTAGTGCTCCCCCCATTGCTCCCCCCTCCACCACATGTCTTTAATTGGCAATTCATCCACGCAAAACGCAAACGGCCACGAGTTGCGTGAGAGGGTGGAGGCCTTCCCCACACAACTATTACGATAAACTAAACTTTTTTTTACCAGGTTAAGGCCCACTGAGCTACATAGCTCTTTTTTCAGAAGTGACATTTCCAAATGGTGGATAGATGGGTCTGGAGTTTGACAGTAACAATCAATAGCCCATTTCATGCACAATTCAATTTGGGACAGTTTCAGAAATTCTTTCAATGGTCTGGATTAAAATAATTCTAGCTTCTTACACAGATGTTTTAAAACATCGGTGTAAGATGGGTTGCTTTTGGCTTCAAAGGCGGCAGGAAGCTTATCGGCAAATTGGCAAATACAAATGTCTCAGATACTCGTCACCTGACATTTACCTGCCGAGGCAAAGTCAAAGACGCCAAGTGCAACCAAGGACTCCGTAGAGAGATTTACCCACATGGGGAGGGTCTTGTGGAGCGCCCAGATAAAATACAAAAATTGTAAATATTTTTTTTTAGGCGTTAGGGTTGGAATCTAACCCACGACCTGTAGACCAGAGCGAGGCAGTTAACATCTCGTCGCCGTGGCGCCCTAAATATGTGACTTCTTCCCAACACCGGCGGAGCCAGTGGGGGGGGGGTGGTACGTGCCCCAGCAATGATCCGACCTTAATCCATAATTTCGATCGGATCATTGGGGTTTATTAGTAATAAATCGGCATTTTGCGACCCCCACTGCCACTGTGTAGCATATTATTACGTGCCAGAGACTCTATGAGATGATAGGACAATAGTCTAAGTCCATAATTGGCAATAAGTAACGGCAAAGCAGTTTTAAGTGACTCACAATTCTGCGCAGTTGCGTATACAGTACACGACTTCCCTGAAGGCATTCACCTTCAGCGAGCGCGATGCCGATCACACAACGCGGTTCGAATTCGACCCTCCATCGATGGCCGCGCCATCGCCGCACACGCGTCGAATAAAAAGCAAGGGACAAGTCCTTACTTACTAACAACTCCTCTATCATTTTCCATTGCTGGAGGGGTTGCCCCCCCTACCTGAAAATCCTGGCTCCGCCATTGCGTCCCAATGTGGTGATGATGATCCAATGAACCCCACTCAACAGAGAGAGGCCCATGGATGTCCCGCACTGGCACAAGGAAACACGTTCGGGGCAGAAACAGATTGGCTCGCAGACACGGACACCGCGAACGCGCTCATAGCGAGAGCGGATCGAGAATGGAAATCCCCCCCCCTCCCCCTCGCGTGTTCTGGTCAGTGCAAAAGAGGAAGAAGAGAGCCAATGGGAGGAGGATGATAATGGCTTCGTGCCCTAGCCGGCGTGGGTTTCATAATGCTTACACGTGACAACACCGCTGACGCTTTCCAGCCTGTCCCTCAAAGGGCGAAGGTTGCACTGCTTATAAAACGTATGCGCAGACGACGAAAACTATTGTCTTCTGCGAATTTGCTTATGTGCAAACGAGCGGTATTTCAATGTACTAGACATGCTTATCCCCTTGTCAATTAAAGGTTGGCCGAGGCAACTGCCTGCGCCATGTCAGCCATGGGGGTTGCTTGAACATACTTCAGCACGCCGGTCAGTGCGGATTTGGTGACGGGGGGAGGAGGCCCAAGACTGGTGTTGAGCCGTGACCAGGAATCAATCTCGGTTCTCTGGGTTCAAAGTGCAGTGCGCTAACCACTATGCCACCGTTCCACCCCCATACTGTCAAAGACAAAGTGAAATCGACGCCGATGCACGCTTCTTCAAAATTTCGGTACCCCTACGGAACTTGGAATTCCTCACTAAATAAATCTGAACCGACTGTGACTGAAAGCACCGTCATGCGTAAAAAACGAGGCACAATTTAATTAGGAATTAATTTTTGGGTTAAATCGTGTGACCCCAAAAATCGAATGTGAAATGCGACATTGGTCATGAAAGCCTGTACGCATTTCACGGCACAGTTAACTTCCTCATTAACCACGTCCCTTGAGCTCACTCCAGTGGCCTCGTGGCTGATCTTTACTGAGCGTCACCATCGGCGAAGGAGTAAGCAGATCTTAATGAAGGTGAAACAATGCATTTTAGAAATAGTTCGATCTATTCTATTATTTTAGCTAAATACCAAAGTCAAGGTCTGCTAGTCGCGAGAAGGCTTCAGGAACGAGCTTTGTGTAGTTTTGGCATTCCCTTGTTGATGGAGCACAGACGACAGTGGTTTACGATATGCTCCAAAGTTTGGGTTGCATGACCCCAATCGTACTACTCTGGCTTGTGTTAAAATTAAAAATGTATGAAGGAGATGTGCGCATCGCCCTGTTGATGTTCGGATCCGGTTGATGGTTACAACACAGTCAGTTAAACACAGGAGGCCTTCACGACCAATATTATCCACAAGAGGTTTTTGTACGAGAGGAAACGTCGTACTTCGAACGCTTAATGTTTTGGGTTTACTCTCCAACACACCGGTGTGCTGAACCAGTCACGAATTGGCATGTTGTGTTTACGTGACAAACCTTACTAATTGGCTGTGTCGGGTGGTGGCGGGTTGAACGACACACTTATATTTGTGCAATCTAACCCAAGAAGGCCTCTATGATGTTACACCAGTGTCTACGATGAGGAGCGAATGCCATATCCAAGAGGTGTGCTTGCGTTGCAATCGAAACGTCGTATGCTAGTATTTAATTTATTTTTTCTTTCTACGTGACTTTACAGAAATAACCAAAGAGTAAGAGGTGTGTGACGTTTGGGTCCCGATTGAGGCGTTTACTCCGAATGTCGTTCCACCGTGCACGCCAGCACTCTTCCAGATCTTTGTCGATCATATTTACGTGAAGGATACCGCTTTATTATGAACTACAGAACCGTGCTGAAGTACATACTCTATTAAAAGTGGGCGTCAACGATAACATCAACAGCTGTCACTTGCCACCAAGTGATGATGACCCAGAGGTCGCAACCGAGTACCCAATACCCGTACCCTACCCGATACCCGGCTACCCGTACCCAGCCAGGTACAAGTACGGGTACCCGTTTGCGACCCTGGTGCGGCCGGGTACGGGTAAGGAATCAAAACCCGTTTGCGACCTCTGTGATGACCCCCCCCCCCAGCTCGTGCACAGTCAGGTGCACTTCTGAGTGTGTTTGAAGTGCCAAGTGTCATAAAGCTCTCCAGGGAAGGAAGTAAAAGGGACACACACACACACATCCCCCAGTTGGTAATGGGTTAAATCGAGACGGGCTGGCAGACACGCCACTGGATAATTTTGGGATTGGGGAAACGTTGATATCAACCCGCTCTCCAAATAGCATCCTCCAAACCTGTCAGGTCCATGGACGAAGTGGCAGGAATTTCACGACGCGAGTCACCAATGACTCACGCCCCCGTATGCGCCAACGCACGGACCTTCGGTTTCTTGCACAAAGAAGAAGAAACCGCATGCCACTGTTGTAACCGCCAGCATTTGTTGTTCACCTATAACAGCTGTGGGCTGATTACATTCAGCTCGCACGTACTCAACAAAAAGCCCACACACACACCTCACGGGGCCCGCCGGCTTCGTTCACAGCAGCGATCGCCAATGCCCGATCTTATTCGAAGTCAGGGGTGGGCGGCTCGACACAGTCGGTGTCGAATGAACTTTGAACAAATATTAAATGCTAAACCACACAATCTGATTGTGGATACGGTGCATTCTGCTCCGGCTCTCACCCCGCTGTGTGTAACAAGGCTGCGACACCCATCGCGAATTTGTGCTGAGTTTTCTAAGTACTGTGTGTTGAACTTCTTTCGCACCGTACGTAGCCAACCCTGCTAATCGGAGGTGCGGGGGGTAGGGGAGAGACAACAAACTGCACACAAAAAGCAGTTCTTCAGAAAAATTTTAAATTGTCTTCTGTCCAGTGCCCTCTGCCACTGCTGACAATATCCCAACATTCATAAGGTTAATTTATTCACTTGACAATAATAATTTACAAAGGTGGGGGGGGAGGGGGTCTCAGCTTTCAGCAGGGGGGCTAAGGCCCCTCCAGCCCACCCCTCCCTCACCCCCCCCCAGATGCTACAGGGCTGCACAACAGTGAAGGCGTTGTTCACGTGTTCCATTGTAGTTTGTGAAGCATCTACCAAGAACAAAGGGAGTGCAGAAAACAATACATTGTTGCACTCGACTATAATTAGTATTCCCAACGTCTAAGCTTCCCGCCGGCACCAACTCAGCAGTGCGCAGAAGTGTACGTGCACCGACAAAAACCTTTTTTTTTCTCAAAATTCCAAGCAGGACATTTCCTGCGAATGAAACACCGACGGTACAATTTTAAATAAATTTCGCAAGTCGCTCATGACTCACAACCGCCAATGTTGATAAAAGGTGTTCCTGCTAGAACTCCCAACACCCAACAGTGGCCCCAACGGTGGCCATGAGCAAGTGGTTTGAAATTCCACATTCCCATGACGAATGGCAGTCCATCCTGAGTGAAATCGCGGTATGGAATATATGCACAACACTTCTGTGCGGAATTGTGTAGTGATGCCACACAACCATTGTGTGTACATACCATATTGCAGTAAAGCATTCAAGTACATGCAATACATAATGGCATCATTCTATCTATGGAAAAATAAGGGAAGGATAAGTTGGGTAATATGGCTGTTAGCAAAGGCGGAGCCAGGATTTTTAGGTATGGGGGGGGGGCAACCCCTCCAACAATGAAAAATGAAAGAGGAGTTGTTAGTAAGTAAGGAGTTGTTAGTAAGTAAGGAGTTGTTAGTAAGTAAGGAGTTGTTAGTAAGTAAGGAGTTGTTAGTAAGGACTTGTCCCTTGATTTTTATTCGACGCGTGTGCGGCGATGGCGCAGCCATCGATCGAGGGTCGAATTCGAACCGCGTCGTGTGATCGGCATCGCGCTCGCTGAAGCTGAATGCCTTCAGGGAAGTCGTGTGCTGTATACGCAACTGCGCACAATTCTGTGAGTCACTTATAACCGCTTTGCCGTTACTTATTGCAAATCGTGGACTCAGACTATTGTCCTATCATCTCATAGAGTCCCTGGCACGTAATAATATGCTACACAGTGGCAGTGGGGGGTTGCAAAATGCCGATGTATTACTAATAAACCCCAATGATCCGATCGAAATTAGGGATTTCGATCGGATCATTGGGGGGGCACGTGCCACTCCACCCTCCCGCCCACTGGCTCCGCCAATGGTTGAGTAATCGGGTTTGCAAAATGAATGAGATATGCCAGCAGGGGAACGAGGCAATGGTGCAGGGGGTTGAAGGAGGTATGGGTGGAGCGTGATAGTGTATGAGGCTGATAGAAGGGTGTCGCAAAGCAAGGCATTAAATAATACATTGCACAGGAATGCCCTCATCACGTGAAGGTGTATGGGTATGTGGGCATGTGTGAGTGCGTGGGCACACCTCTTGGCAGGCCTTAACGCATGCCACAATTACCAGATTCAATGAAGTTAAATTAAGTTAGCTGGAATGTTTATTCATTGCTGCTTTCATGATTGTTTTGCATGTGGGAAAGAAACGAAAGTACCTTCAAGGTCAAGTTAATTTGTTTAACCAAATGAGAACTCAAATCGGCCACGAAAAGCCTTATTTGCATGAGTAACCTGGGTCAACAAAATGACAAAGACGACACAGAAATCAAGCGAACAGAAATGAGACCCAACAAACCAATGAGAACATCGCACTTGTCAAAAAGCCTACGCTGATGAGGCAGTAGCACTTAAAGGTCATCACCGACACATTCACGTACACCCACCGAATTGCCATCGCTTTCGGTCCGGCACATTTATTGTTCCCCTTCCTTTCCGGCACTTTCTTCAGAAAAGTTACGTGGGTTGGGTTCGGGTATGGGGGCATCTTACGAGAAGCCAAAACGTGAATAACAGGAAGGAATTTGTCGCAAGCTCCGGGTCATTCGTCTTACCCGTGGGAAGGGGGGGGGGGGGCAGCGAATAGGACGAGACTATTCCCATGTGAATATTATCCACAAGGCAATGTGGGTGATGGGTTAACACCGACAACTTTCTGGTGACCGATCTGTAAAAAATACACGAATAGGAAGAGTCCATCCACTGACAACAGGATTTATTTTTACAAAAAAATTACGCGTCTTTGTGGAGAATATAACAAAGTAGATAAGCAGACAATGTTACTTTCATATGTCTCTCTCTCCGTGTAAAACAGTTAAGTATTTCTGACATAACCCAGGTGCCCAATGGCCTTCTGGGAGTGCATAATTTCTGAGATCATATAAAAGTATTTCTTACATAACCCGATCTTGAGATCATGCACTCCCACAAGGCCACTGGGCCGACAGGTTGTGTAAGAAATACTCTTAGATATTTTACGTTGACAGATATATGAAGGAGACAATGTCTGATCAACTATAATAGGACTTTTCACAGATCGATGGTGGCAGCGGATATTAGGAGTCATGGGTAAGACGGCCACGGATGGGATACATCTTGAGTTTCACTGCACTACGATGAGAATTTGATTGGGCAGGAGTGCCCAAACTGCTTGGAACGCAAAACCAAAATTCTCATTTGTGGCGAGACACGAAAAAACGTGAGGCAGGGGCATGGTTCGCGCTACGCAGGTTGGCTGTGGAGTTTTGAAATTAGAAATCTGGTGTACTCACACGCCTGCGTCTCTTGCTTCCAGGGATGAGCACCCGGGACCCACTCCTACTACTACCGCGGAATTATTTCTGTTAAACTTAAAAGCTGCGTCCAAAAGTTAAACAATTAGCCGCGTACAATTGCCCGGGGTCCACACGCAACTCACGAGCCGTGGTGTGGTCGATTCTATTATACGTGCCCTACGATGAAAATAACCACACTTTGTCCACTAAATTGTGGCCGAAAATCGGACTACAAACTACAGTGGTACCTCGGTATACGTCGTTAATTTGTTCCAGAAGGTAGGACTTAAACCGAAAATGACGTATACCAAACGAATTTTTCCCATAAGAAATAAAGGGAAAGGAAATAATCCGTTCCAGAGTATAAGAAATTATATTTCACATGGCATATTATACATTAATGGGGTTGTATAAAATCATTTAGACACTACTTATTACTAAAATGCATACATAAATTAAAATGACAAAAAACACGTGAAATTTCACGGAGAGTTCTAGCAAGGGTCGTGCGCTGAACGAGATCTACAGGCAGGCTGAGGAGCGACGCTTTGTTTCAGTCGTGAACGGGGTCGACGCGGGGTCTACGCGGTGACTCATCCCGACCCATACAAGTTCTAGCAAGCGCGTCGTATCCCAAGCAAGACGTCGTATCCCAAGGCATTTTTAATCGTCAAAACTCGACGTATACCAAATTCGACGTATTCCAAAGCGGTCGTATACCGAGGTATGACTGTGCTGTACCGCAATACACCACGCACCGCAGTGCTGCCTACCCGTTAAATTACCACAGAACAGAGGTCGCAAACGGGTTTTGATTCCTTACCCGTACCCGGCCGCACCAGGGTCGCAAACGGGTACCCGTACCCGTACCCGGCCGTACCCGTACCCTACTCGAAACCGGCCGGGTATGGGTAGGGTACGGGTATCGGGTACCCGATTGCGACCTCTGGGGTGAAGCCATGTTGCAGGCGTGGGTGGGTTGATTCTAGGAACTTGAATTGTGAGAAGAGACAAGACGTTGGGAAATGAGTGACAAACAGTCACTCACCCGTGACTCACGGCCTACCCGTACCCGGCCGCACCAGGGTCGCAAACGGGTACCCGTACCCGGCCGGGTACGGGTACATGGGTATCGGGTAGGGTACGGGTATCGGGTACCCGGTTGCGACTTCTGCCACAGAACTCTTCTTATCCACGGTGATTATGGAGGATGAACATTCCGTACCCTGTTATCCGTGATGTTATCCTCAAATATGCTCCAATTGCGGATTTGTAAAAAAATAAATGTTTGTATCGCGAAAAATTGATAAATTTAGCAATGAACTCCTCTTATCCGTGAAAACTTTGCGAGTTCGGAGTTAAAACACCGTTCGGGGACCAGTGGCCAAAGTTGCTGCGGCTGTGTAAAAGTCTGCGTCTATTACACTGGTCAACAAAAGCAAAACATTTCTTTCTGGCCTGGACTTTTGCAGACTAATTTCAGGGTGCTGATTCCAAATTTGATCTCAGATTTGCTCTATCACATCATTTTTATGCTATCGGCATACCCCATTTTCATTGATTTTACCCGAAATTAACTCTGTCACTTATGATTGCAAGTTGTTGCGAGTCAGTGACTGCTTTAGTGTTAAAATATGGTGCTGTATTTTTAGGATAGTGTGTTTATAATATAATTTTATGTAGATATCCACATTTATTTAATATTTTTCTTCTGCAGTTTTCATTGAAAATGCAATATTTAATATCTCAAAAACCTGATGTGATAGACAAAAACTGATGCCAGATTTGGAATCAGCACCCCCCAAAATTAGCTCAAAACCGTTGGAATACCTTATGCCAGAAAAAGTGTGTTGACCAGTGTTACTTTAAGTTGCCGTTGAGTTCGGCACGGCGCTTACCATAACACGGCAGATGATGGGATGAAATTATCAGTGCGACTCCTCTAATATCTGAAAAAATTGCGGATAATAGGAAAGCCGTTCCGAAATTTAATAACGTGAAAACCCTGCGGATAACCACAAATACTCTTGTGGTTTTTACAGACCCTACAGCTCCAGCGGATAATAGGAGTCACAGATAATATAGCCATGGATAAGGGTTGCGATGAAGCATTGTACTGCAATACACCATTAACTCGAGTACACTCATTTGTGCTGTACTACACGAACACACGATTGCAACACAGTACACTTCACAGCACACTACGTAGAGTACTGTGCCGCAATAATGAAGACCACACAGTACTGTACACAATACACTACACAATAATGTACACTACTACTCTACACAGTACACTACTCTACACTACACAGTACAATACACTGTACACTACACAGTACACTACACACTACTCTACACAGTACAGTACACTGTAGACTACACAGTACACTACACTGTAGACTACACAGTACACTACACTACACACTACTCTACACAGTACAGTACACTACACAGTACACTACACTACAGTGCACTACACAGTACACTACACTGAGTTTGTACAAAAGGTTCCACACCAAAGTGAGTCCCTGTCACCTGTGTACCACGACTTGGTCGTAATTTCACTACGCACACACAAACACACTGTATACACACACACACACTGTATACACACACAAACACACTGTATATACACACACAAACACACTGTATATACACACACAAACACACTGTATATACACACACAAACACACTGTATATACACACACAAACACACTGTATATACACACACAAACACACTGTATACACACACTGTATACACACCAAACACACTGTATACACACACTGTATACACACACACACAAACACACTGTATACACACACACAAACACACTGTATACACACACACAAACACACTGTATACACACACACTTTATACACACAAACACACTGTATACACACAAACACACTGTATATACACGCACACTGTATATACACGCACACTGTATACACACACACTGTATGCACACACACACAAACACACTGTATGCACACACACAAACACACTGTATGCACACACACTGTATACACACAAACACACTGTATAGACACACACAGTATACACATACACACTGTATACACACACACAAACACACTGGATACACACACACACAAACACACTGGATACACACACACACACGCACATGCACACACACTTTATACACAAACACACACGCACACACACTGCACACACACACTTTATACACACACACACACGCACGGCATTGCTCCACGTGTGTGCCAACAGCATGTAGTGCAATTTATTAACGGCGTTATTGAATAATATACGAGTGGAAGTATGTACACGACCTTGTGTGTGTGTATACAGTGTGTGTATACAGTGTGTGTGTGTATACAGTGTGTGTGTACAGTGTGTGTGCAGTGTGTGTGCATACAGTGTGTGTGCATACAGTGTGTATAAAGTGTGTGTATACAGTGTGTGTATACAGTGTGTGTGTAAAGTGTGTATAAGTGTGTGTAGTTTGTATACAGTGTGTGTACAGTGTGTAGTGTGTGTATACAGTGTGTGTATACTACAGTGTGTGTGTATAGTGTGGGGAGCGGTGGTGCAGCGGTTAGCGCGCTACGCTACGAACCCGGCGTCCCGAGTTCGATTCCCGCTCACGGCCACCACCACCACCAACCCCAGCGACGATTATCGGAACCGGTCCTCCGCCTAGGTCGACTCAGCCTCAAATGACGACCCGGTGCGGTGTGTAAACATCGCCACTGGGGAGACAAAGGCGGCCGGGCGTGGTGCTGCTCGCTGACAGCACTTGCCCCTACAGTCAGTCGCAGGCTACACGGGGGTCTTTGTCTTTGTATTCTATCGTATCGAGGGTAACTTCGTGGTAAGATCGCGGATCGATACCGCGGCACGGAGAGTATCGATTTGTGAACACGAACACGCGATCGATAACTCTAACGCGCTAGAGTCGTAGACTGCGTTTAAGGAAATAGATCTTATACTCACACACGCGCAGTTTGACACTGTACAGCATCAACAACATAATCAACATCATCAACAACATCAACGACATCATCATCAACATCAACAACATCGTCAACATCAACAACATCAACGACATCATCATCGACAACATCAACAACATCGTCAAAGTTCTCGATTTGAAGTTCATCAACAACATCGTCAACATCGACAACATCAACGACATCATCATCGACAACATCAACAACATCGACAACATCAACAACATCGTCAACATCGACAACATCATCAACGACATCATCAACATCATCAACGACATCATCAACGACATCAACATCATCAACGACAACATCATCAACAACATCATCAACAACAACATCATCAACAACAACGATCGTCAATGGGACCCGTGGCGTTGTTCGCAGGAAAGACGTCGGCGTCTTTTCAGATCACAAACGAAACGAATCCTCACCGCGTGTCGAGCGAAGCTTTAATCCTCCTCCTCCTCTTCTTCTTCTCTTCAAATCCTCGAGACGAACTCCCCCCACACACCAACAACAACACCAACAACAACAACCCAGCGAATGTGGAGTTCTATCACGAACTTGTTAAGGCGGTCAACAATTCACCACCACCAACACCACCACCTACGATATACATTAACTGCGATGTCTGTTCGTGTTAAGTCTTATCTATCTCTCTCTATCTCTCATCTATCTCATCATCTCTCTATCTCTCATCTATCTCATCATCCCTCTATCTCTCTCTATCTCTCATCTATCTGTCACTTCCTAGCACACACACACAGAGCGAACGCCACGACAATTTGACGAATTCGCGTTCAGAAACCCCGCACGCTGCCACCGACTGTGAGACCCTCCCACTGGGCGGGACTTGTCAAGAAACAATTTCCCGTAAACCCGTCAAGAGTTGCTGGTTGTTGTTGTTGTCTTGTTGTTTGTTTGTTTGTGTTACCACACACGAGGGCGGCTCTTCACCACGATGGGGGGGGGGGTCTCTCTCTCTCTGGGGGTCGAGACGCCACGTGGGTGGAGATGGCCCCCCACGAGACTTCCTGGAAAGTGAGCTCTGAAAGTTGTAGATTTCAAGTTTTCGTGACTGCAAGGATCAATACTCTTTGGTTATTTCGGTAAAGTCACGTAGGTGAAAATAAAAAAAATAAAAAATAATATAATTTAAAATAAAAATTAATTATGAAAATTTTTACTTTATTTTTTATTTTTTTATTTTCACCTACGTGACTTTACCGAAAGATCTAAATGTGTTTGAGCTCTGAAGGTGTTTGAGCTCTCACGTAGCACCGGGCTGGTCACGAGAGACGCGAGTCATTGCGGGAGTGGGTGGCGTGGGATGTGTTGCTGGTTTCTGGGAATTGGAAGGAGTGAAATGGTCAATGATACATGCACAGAATATGAAAATGACGTGTTTTGCATGACAGTACACTGATTCACTGAATGTAATACATGCTAGGGCTTCTGAAAGCAACGGGTGGATAACGTAGCAGGTGCATCGTACTCAACCACCCCCTGCTTGGATAATTGGATATCAAAACATAATTACAGACCAGAGGTCAAATTCCAGAGTGTTGTCACTTTTTTGTGGGACAGCATAAACTCACCAAGATTTAACAAGATGTGTGTAGATTTCAGAACTGCAATGTTCCAATGAACAAGATTAAGCTGTACATACCTCTACTGTCATCATCATCATCACGATCCATGAGCAGGCAGATAGCCCTGTAGGTGTTCACTGCACATTTCGTCATTTTCTTGGTTCTTTTGGTAAAGTCACGTAGAAGAGAAATAATGAAATAATAAAACATAAAACATAATAAAATAATTCTCACGACGTTTCGGCCACAACGCAAGCAGCCGAAACGTCGTGAGAATTATTTTATTATGTTTTATTTTTATTATTTTATTATTTCCCTTCTACGTGACTTTACCGAAAGAACCAAGAAGATGAATCCCTGCAGTCACGAAAGCTTTAAATCGCTATTTCGTCATTTATTTCCACTTTCCTCTCTATCTTGTGCCAATGTGCTCAGGTAGTGGCCACATCTGCCACCGATCTCGTCAAAGCCATTCTCTGTTGGGTCTTCCTCTCTCTCCAATCAAACAACAACAACAACAACACTTTAAATGTTCTTGTTGTCCATTCTACCTGCACTCAACATCCGCTCCTAGATGAGGTTTGTTCGACTGGACGCTGCTAAATGCGCTTTCGGTGACTTCTGGCGGACGTACACGAGTACAGTACAACAATTGATGTAGTTTATATTTTAGTTTTTTACGTGGTGGTTTGGCTGCTGCAGCTCCTTACTATTAAAATTCCCTCCCTTTATTACTGCTAATCCTACTGACTTTGAGACTGCCTCCACCTCCTACGCATTCCACAAGTAGTGACTAATCCCATATCTGCATTTTCCATAAATATGCTAAATTCCTCTGTTGATATGTAAATTCCTTTGTCAAGGCGCTCTCCTCCCCTAACCCAGCTTAAATAAACGCTGCCAAGCCTGGTGGTGTTCATTCAGACGCTGTCTTTCCGATAGACCTGTTCTTCACCTGAGGACGGCTGCTTGCGTTGTGGGCCGAAACGTCGTGAGAATTTTATTTTATTATGTTTTATTATTATTTTATTATTTCCCTTCTACGTGACTTTACCGAAAGAACCAAGAAGAACAATAGATGTTTATTGCCAATGCCAGATGGGTCTTTGAGTTTGACAGCGACAATTAAGGGCCCGGTTCATGCGCCCAATTCGTTTTTCTGACAGTTTCAGGAATTATTTCGGTGGCATGAATTAAAGTAAATATACCCTAATTCACGCACACGCGTTGTCCCTTAAATTGCCCAGACGAATCTTGGGTGGCACAATTCCTCACCCACACCCACAGGCAGGACAAGAGGGAGGGGGCATTTTGCTGTGGGCATTCTAACACAACAAGCCCTGCCACAGACTGAGCCAACCAACTTGGCTCCTTGCCATCTAAATTAAACTTATTTTATTTTACCAGGTAAGGGGCCGTCCATAAATGACGTCACGCACCTGGGGGGGGGGGGGGGGTCAGACATTTGTGACGATGTGTGACATGGCGGGGGGGGGGGGGTGAGAAATGTGACGTCACATCAAAATGCGCAACTTTAAATTAATATAGACAACACGTTCTACTTAATTAAATAGACTTTTTAATAAATGTTTTCTCTTACAACATCCAAGTGCAGCGCCACATTAAATACGCACGACAATGACAATAGTTTAAAGCGATTTGAAGCATGTTTTATTTTTTTTTGGGGGGGGGGCAGAGCTTTGTGACGTCATATTTGAGGGGGGGGGTTGACTTTTTGTGACGAAAGGGGGTGGGGGGTCAAAATTCGTCCAAAATCGCGTGACGTCATTTATGGACGGCCCCTAAGGCCCACTGAGCTGTGTAGCTCGTTTTCAGAAGCGACGTGGATATCACAAATGAAAGCCCAACGAAGTGGCTTATCACGTGGACATTTATAGCAGCCAAATGCCCTAAATGCATGTTTCTAAATATGGAGGGGGAAACCGCGACCACAGAGAGAGACACGCAAACTCCAAATATAGAGCAGCAGGCGTCAGGGTCGAGATCGAACCCACGACCTCCTGTATACCAGGCGAGGTAGTTAACATCTCCTAGCCACCGTGATGATGATGAGAGAGAGAGAGACACGCAAACTCCAAATATACAGCAGACGTCAGGGTCGGGATCGAACCCACGACCTCCTGTAGACCAGGCGAGGTAGTTAACATCTCCTAGCCACCGTGATGATGATGAGAGAGAGAGACACGCAAACTCCAAATATACAGCAGCAGGCGTCAGGGTCGGGATCGAACCCACGACCTCCTGTACACCAGGCGAGGTAGTTAACATCTCATAGCCACCATGATGATGAGAGAGAGAGACACCGCAAACTCCAAATATACAGCAGCAGGCGTCAGGGTCGAGATCGAACCCACGACCTCCTGTATATTAGGCGAGGTAGTTAATATCTCCTAGCCACCGTGATGATGACAGAGAGAGACACGCAAACTCCAAATATACAGCAGCAGCCGTCAGGGTCGGGATCGAACCCACGACCTCCTGTATACCAGGCGAGGTAGTTAACATCTCCTAGCCACCGCGGCGTCCACATATCGTAGACGATTGAACGTGTGCGTCAATGAACCCTTGCAGAGCCATCCCACACATGTTGTTTATGTCGTTTATTGTGAGAATTCGGTAACAGTTCCTATGGTCACTGTTACATTGCTTTTATGGCTTTATTTTGGTGATTTCGAAAAGTTTTTTGGTTTGGCCATGTTTGTTTGTTGTAGTACGGAGTTAGACTGATGGCCTTAATCTAAGTTGTCTTGTGGTTGTTGTTGTTGTTTGACTTGCATCCCACTGGGATTTTTGCACACAGCGTTGGTGTACGGTGCTTTTTCTGGAATTTTTGCTCGGTTTTTTTCTGGATTTTCAGTTTGCACTTAGTCACATAGTCACTTTAAGATGTTTTCTTGTTCATGTTTTTGTTTTTTGTTTGTTGCGGTTGCACCCGATTCAAGAGCCGAATGGCTCACAGGGCTCTACCAAATACATGAACTTGAACGACTGACTCTGCAATTCCCTTGCACAGAGGCATGCCACCGCCGCCACCACCATCATCGGCCACTGCTGGATGAAGCCCTCCGCAAGTCGCCGCTAACTCTCATACTTCTGTCACTGCAATTATCCACCTGCACATGAGCAGATGTCATCGCTGCATCTCACATTTGGACGTCCTCACGACCGCCCGCATTACATTCAGCGGCTGCCACTCGGTTGCAATCTTGGCCATCGTCCCTGAGAGTCACGTGTCCGGCCCAAGCTCACTTACTTTTCTTAACTGCTGAAAATATTTTGCCACCATACCTCTCGATGACATGCTTCCGTTTGCCAAGCCGACGTCTGGTGGACAGTCCCTTCTCTTTCACTTACCTGCTCGCATCCTGTTTTTATTATTACTCACTCTGTCTGTTATTGTTGTATCCTCAAATCTTGTAACTCAATTTTTTCCCACTTCCCAATGTGGTATCGACTGCAAACTTGGTATACTTATGTCATACTGATGACAATACTATATTCTATCATTAAAAAAACATTTTAAAACGGCTTGGGTCTAATTGTCCACGTTCAACTAACGTTGGATGTAAATCATCACAGCCTCTTACGTTATGGCAAGCCTCGGGGACACTTCCTGGAGTCGTGGAGTTCTGCCATTACCAGTACGGTACATTTCATTAAAGCGTGTTTTTAAAAAAGTATTTTTCAATATTACTTCATTTTAAATCCTTTATATTAAGTTCACTTGCTTGCTTGCTTGCGCGTTTGCGCGCTTACGACCGTGCAAATCTTTCGGTCGTTTTTTAACCCACTTCCCGTGATCCAATCGAGCTGACATTTTGCACACAGACTCGTTGTGCGTGACAATTTATTTTCGTGAATTTTTTTTTCCATAACTTGACACTTTTTAGGAATTTTTTTATATTTAATTACCAATTGCTTAATGGTGGCAGGCAATCATCTGACCCATAGGTGGCAGCCATCTCAAGCCAGAGGACGAGAGGACTCTAGCCGCCACGCATATAAAGGATTTATAGTGAAAAACTTTGTTTTTACGGGTTAATTTTTACTCAGTTCAAATGACCGTGGCGAATTGCGAATTCCTGTGAGTGGCGCGCTCCCTGCTGGACTTAAAGTACTACTGCACTAACGCGCACTGCAAAGTCAGAATCAGCACATTGATTGATACTGGAGGAATCCGATGAAGCTATACAACTCTTTTTCACAGATGTCCCGGTCAGTAGTGGAGAGAAACCTCTGCTATGGACGGTGATAATGTGAGTTGGCCGTGTCTGGTACGGTAAGTGTGACTCGTGGTGATGTCTACTGTGTCTGGTATCTGGTGAGCGGTGTGTCTG